GCTTCTTCCAATCGGATCCTCACAATGGCAATTGGCCGCTCAGCCAGAAAAGGGTCACGTCGGTCCCTATTCCGGGCCTCGAGCCTCGGCTTCAGCTCCAGGTTCTGGGAACCTGAGAGCCGCACGGTGACCCTCATCGATTGGGGAGGCGTGGGCCAGTTGGCCGCAAGGCTGCAACAAATTTGGAGTTCTTGTCCCTAACTGCTCGCCAGCAGAATCTTCAAGGATGATGACACCCACTGCAAGCTGGCCAATCTGTACTCTCACATGGGCAGTTTGGTGAAGGAGAAGGGCGGTCTGACAGGTTGCTAGCAGGTTCAGTCAATGTGCAACCGGACAGAGTTGCGTTGAAGGACTGGAATGACTGCGAGTCTGTGGAACTGAGTGGCGCCGATGAAATCGCCGGCGTCTACCATCGCTCAGGCAACAGGGGCGGTGACTGGTTCTGATGTAACTTCTTTGCTTGGAAGCTCCTGGCAAGGATTCTCTATATATGAGGCGAAGGAGAATCAAACAGCCACTTGGCATCCGTCGCCCGCAGATTTGCAACGGAAGATGCACAAGGAGCAGGGAACATGATGCACAGCCGGGGCATGATTCGTACAGGCATTGCTTCTGGGCTACACCTATGGTGTGGCATACTACAACGAGGAACTGGGCTACAGGTCTTCCTTTCAACTTGCTGGCTGCCTGGAATGCGGGGGCTGCACCGCGAGCCAGGTTGTTCTTCAGTGGCGGAACCACGTGGAAAGTGGTTTTGGAATATCCTGGGCGCCAGGACCGAAACGAGGTCGACGTGAGTTGAAGTGCCAGTCAGAGTCCACCTCTTGGAAGGAGCTCTACAGCACGTTGGCAGAGAACTTGATGCATTTTAGAACGGCCCGTCTCGGATGCTCCGCTCCCGGACTCACTGAGGAACTGGAGACCACGACAGGCGACATAGAGCGCTTGGCCAATCAACCTGCGCAGCGATGGAAGATCTTCAAGAGCGTGGCCGGGCTGCAGCTATTCCGGGGGGCGTCGGCTAGTGCCTGAACATGCCGAGGGAAAGCACAAGAAGAACGTGGCGGTCACAGTGACAGTGTCCGATCCTGCAAAACGCTGCCGCCCGACTTCAAGGTTTCGCCGCATCGAGCAAAAGTACAGCTTGATTGCTACTACGGTTTGAGGTCAGAAAATCTCTTTGACGATGCAGATGTGCTGCTTTGCGCATTTCCTCCCCGTCCAAGTCGCTGTTGTCGTCGTTCTGAGTCTCCTGCTCGGCTAGAGGTGCCTGTTGCTTGATGCACTCCTGCAAGCCTCCCGCGATTGCGCTGTCTCGCTCGCACAGCCTTCGGGACTAGGGACGTGCGCTCCGGCGACGAGTTTCGATGGTTGTTTGGTTGCCAACTTTTTCTCACAGGTGGCGGCATCACATGTTTCGTCTTGCAATGAGAAGCTGAGTTCAAAACGAGTGCATTGGAATTGAGGTGGCCTGCCGTCGCGCAAGCAGGCACCAGGGAGCGCTCGGGAGGATGGGACCCCTTTGGGAGGTTCTGTAAAAGCGTGTCCTGAGGCTTATTCCCAAGCCGCTCGCAACATGGGCTTGGGCCTGAACTTCAACTGCAAGGCCGAGGCCAGCGGGCGGGCGGGCCCGAGCCCGGTGAAGTGAGTTCCACACCGGGTCCCGCTGTGCTCGGCTCGGCGAGGACACGGTCCTCTTGCCCGAAGCGCCCTTGGCACAGGCGAAGCCTCGCACATGGAGAGAGAGACTTCTTACTTGTACTTGTACTAGTGGTCAACGAGAGCGTAAGCAGGTCGAAGATCTGACGAAATGGAAGGACAATGGCAAGAGGCAGCTAGGCTTCTTAGCTGCATCTGAGCTGACTTATAACTTATGACTACGAACCCTGTCCGGAATCATGCCTCAAGCACTAAGTGAAGCGGCACCATGTCTGAGGATGCATCAGAAAAACAGAGGAAGAAAACTTCGTCTGGTGGGGCATCTTGGAAGCACCTTCAAGCCAAGCGTCTTCTGCAGGGATTTCTGTCGTGCACAGCGGTACACCACGAGAGCCTAGAAAAAAAGAAAACACATAGGTGACGGTATATATGAGTCTCCGAAGACATGACAGCGATGTAGAAGTCGGGCCAGCTAGCCCCGGTGGACACAAACAGCGATTATCTGGGTTTCATTGCGTATACAGCTGGTGCATGAGCACAGGCGACCAATCCAATCCATGAAGAAGTCGGTAAGTGTTTCTAGACAGCAATGCAAGGACCCAAAGGCAAGGCTGATTGCTGATTAACTTGCATTGCAGCTGCTTGTAGTTCTTCGGGGGACGTATCTACAACCCAGCCTGCGGCATTATGTTGCACATTCAACTGGTTCAATTATTGACTGCAAAGGCGTTCACAATCCCTTCAAGCTTCGGGTGCAGACTGACGAGCATGGCCGACGCCGCTTGCAAGCACAAGTTTCGCATAGCCCCAGGCCCTCTGTCCGTGTACTTTCCGCTGGCTTTCACCGAGGCTTCGTGAAGCTTGCCAGCACCAAGTGGGACCTCGACGCAGACCCGGCCCAGACCGACTTTTACGCGAGCCCATCGCCCGGAGACCATCGTGGCCTGGGTGGGTGGGAGCCGAGTGAACGGTCCCGGTCCCTGCGTAGGCTGGGTGCACGATGTCTTCATGGAGAAGAGCAAAGCTGAGATCGTCAAGTTGACCCATCCCAAGAGGAGTCCGAAGCCACGACACAAGGCTTTAACCTTGTCATGTAAGCTTACGCAAATCTCCTGGGTATGTCACTGGCTGCTCACCTGTTTATGACTGAACCTCGAGCCTTCTCACCGTCTGTGCTGATGTTCGCCAACTTTCGGTCGTGCCGGTGGTGCTCCGCCATGCATCTACCGTGCCGTCGGAACGACAGTCGCCCTTCTCTTTTCAGAGGTTTGGTAGCTTGGTAAGGTGCAAATTGAACACGGATCGCCGTAACCCGGCTGGATGACCGGCATCGCTCCCACAGCTTCTTCCTCTCGGTCGGAGACATTCCATGAGATATCTACAGCTTCTAGCAGCAGCTGCTGCGAAAGAGGTAGCACAGCATGTCAGACGGAAGAAAGAAGGGTGGTAGATTCAAGCACCGCCTCTTGCAGGAGTATGCTGCTCTCTGCAGCATGCAGCCTCAGATTCGTTCGTCTGTGCCGTAGGTGATTGACAAGTTACACCGGCCGAAGAGTGTCCTTGCACGTACCGATTTTTATGTTTGGACTGTATGGTCACCGAGGCGCAGAACCATTTGGCTCTTGCAGCGTCGCCCTTCGACTGAGTCTGATAGATTGTTAGATGTTGCTCTTGTTTCAGGGGACCGGGACCAGCGTATCTCAGCACGCAAACAGCGAGTGAGGCTCTACGACTCTGACCTTCTCCTCGCGGCAGTGCTAGGCCGGCGGCTCTGGAGCTGGTCGGAGTCTCGCTGTCTCGCTTGGAGAGGCGTTGCGGCGAAAACGTCCGTGGGACTTGTCTCGCCGGAAGTCCCAAATGAGTACGTCCTCCTCGCCCGGTGCATCGTGGCCACGAGCTGAGAGCCCGAAGCATGCAGTGCCAGCGCTCCTTGCCACACCTCTGTGCCATTTTGTCACGGAGGCAGGATCGCAAGCTCCCAGCATGACGCAGGTCTTCCACGGAATGCTGGGTGACGTTGTAAAGGAGAACTTCATGAGGCTGATAGTCTCCGGGCAACAGGCGCTGTCTCCACCGAATGATATTAATTATCTGGTTCTCCGGAGCAGTATTCACATTGACAAGGACTACCTCCAGTGGCTTCTTCGCCCCAGCGGCGATCGTTTCTTCCGATCTTGGAAGAAGCCGGCGTTGGCATCTTGGCTTAACTTTGGACGTGTTTGTTGCTGGGTAAGGCGAGTGGCTAGTTCGTTGATTCTGGCTGCATGATCATTCGGCCAAGGAGTATTTGGCAAGCCACCGAGAAACCTGCAGCAGCGAGGATCGAGTTTCCTATAGCCCTGCTGTCGGATGCAGCTTTCCTATGTCCTTTGCTGCAATCTGTCTCAGGGCTGGGATCTCAGACAGCGTGAGGGCCGCTAAGTCGGCCGGTGTGTGCGTGGCCAAATCACGGCTTGCACTTTTCCGTCCTGAGCGAGCCAGGATTCGATGCAAGCTCATAGTTAGATAATGATAGTTGCCCACGGCTGGCGATCTGTCCATGAATTGCTGTGGCACGAGTGTCACAGTGCCGTGTTAATGCAAGCAGCTACCGTTACATGTCAGAGGATGGTCGCCGTGCATGCATGGACTGCTTCAAGCGCATCTGGAACCGAAGCTTTGTTTTGCCTCGCCCGCTGCACCTAGCAAGACGAAAAAGGGTACACAAAGCCGATCGAATCGGAAGTACTCAAGCATGGACGATCCCATTTCCCATGTTCAGGACTTGGAGAATGCAGAGAAGAGCCTCGAGAGCTCAAAGTCGGAGGTAAAGACGCTTGGCCGGCGATATTCGGAGCTGTGTAAACGAGCGCAGAGCGCGGAGCATGCAGGGCCAGCCGCATGTTACGGAATCCATGTCTCTACACCGTGCTCTTTCGAGCATCCGAGGAGAGAGCTCCAGGCCCTGCGCTCCAATGCCTGGGGCCCCAGTTGCTCTTCCTATGGCTCAATGGTCAAAGCTCACGGGAGTGAAGGCACGGCCCAACCTTGAGAAGTCTGTGAGCCAAACGAGGGAGAAGGCAGGTTGCTGGCTGAGCCTTGTGCATTTTTTGCTTTTTCAGTCAGCCTACCATTTCATCTGTACAGCGAGTTCTTACCAGCTTGTCTGCAGTTTGTGCCGTCTTGCTCAAGACGATCCGCTTACAGTATGGTCCGGTTCAATGTTGACGACAAAGATACGGAGTTGCTGTGAGTTTTGCGAGCCGAATAAAGTTGCGAGCCACAAAACGCAATCGCACGGGCAGCCCAGCTGAAAGTGACCAGCAATGGTCCTCTCGTAGCCCAGAATCTTGTGCGCCATGGCGCTGCGCTTTGACGGCAAGGCCCTGTCTGTCGTTTCTGGCGAGTGCAGCAACAGCCCCCGCCTTGGGAGGTGGCCATTGTCACAGGCGCTGGCAACGGTCTCGGCAAGGATCGGCCCAACCCCTTTTCCCGTTTGAGTCTTTGTGACACGTCGGAGCTCTCGCTGCAGAGGAATATGCGCTTCTTCTCGGGCACCGAGGAGCAAAGGCCGGTCGCCTTTGCGCAGCAAAGGGGTTGTTGTCTTCAAAGCAGCGCTTTGTCGAAGGTTGTGGTCAACGACCTGGGTGGTGCGGTACCGAGCATGTGCAAGCCGATGGGTTGTACAAGCAAGGCAACTGCAGGAGGTTGCGTTCGCCACGGTGACCGGGAAGGGGGAGGTGCTGCGGCTGATGATGATGATGATGATGGCGATACTATTACAGTGATCATAGTGTTGGCTGCTGGACTACGTAATTGCTGGATTTCGAACCAATATTCTCTTAGCCCATGAGTCGCCTGAACTGGTCTTCCGCGCAAGATGCTCAGGCCCAATATTGGCGCATGAACCAAGACATGCGTTTCGTAATCAGGAATGAATCTGCAGACTCCCAAAAGAGCTGCCAGAGACGGCAAATCCATACTGAAGCCAAGAAAGGGGCTGGCGAAAGGAGATATGTCCTCGCGGCGAACAGCGCTTCAGTAGAGCTTTCTTCATTATCGCGGCACGCCGCCGCCGTGGCTCGAAGCTCTTGGCAAGGCAAAGCATACAAATAGGTGTGGATGTGGAGGAAGTTGATCTGCATGGTCAGATGCATCTGTTCTGGGCTGGAGCATGTGGAAGTTAAGTTCCTGAATCTGGTCCTCGAAAGGAGTTGCAGACATCACCTCAGGAAAACAGCCCTTGTCTTCGCCATCGAGAATTGTCCTACGTTCGTGGTCGACTGTCTGATTGAACAAGCAGTCTCGGCCAACACGAGCTCTGGCAGTCCATACTCAAAGCCCGGAATACTTTAACCAGGGACGAACTCTTAACGGCACCCGAGTGTCTCGAGCGCCGATGGGGCAGACCGCTCGCGGTATCTAAAGCTGCAACAGGGAAAAACCCCAAGGCGTCGCCTCTCTTTCGCCCAAGCAGGGCTCCCAGCATTGCTTAGGCACAACAACTGGTACGGGGAGTTCGAGTTCTGCAGCGGTCGGCTCCTCAATGAAACCTCTTTCTCGGCGCAGCTTGAAACTGCCAGGATGCGGTCGTAGCTGAGATCAAGCAAGCAGGTGGAGAGGCCGGACAGCTGGACCCAGTGCCACAGGTTCACCAACTTGGACATACCGCAATATTCAGTTGTGCGAGGCTGTTGCCAGCTATGATTCTGTTGTGGACGGGGACAAGATAGTCCAATTGGCCGTGGACACGTGCCCCCGACCAAACCACACCCGAAAGATGCCCTAAGAGTTCAGAGCAACCATGGGCCAGATCACGAAGGCACTGATTCAGCGCAGCAGCTTGCTAAGCAGGACTGCACGGTCCCAAATGCCTCGTGTACATGTTAATGTCCGTAGTCCGTGTTTCTATCAATCCTTGATTATTTGTGTGCCCCGTGGTTCAGGTATGGTCGGGTAGACATCGTCATCAACAATGCCGGGATTCTTCGGGATGTGTCCTTCAAGAGGATGTCAGAGAAGGCGTTCTCTGTCGCTGCAAAGGCTGCCCTTATTCTGAACTTGCAAAGCTTTAAAATACCAGGACTGGGACATGGTGTACCAGGCGCTGCTGCGAATTCCTGTGCATACCTGTGCCATCCTGCGCCTGTGCACTGCCCCCATCTAAGGTCCACCTCAGGGGTGCCTTCAAGGTCACCCGCGCTGCGTGGCCTCACATGGTCCTGGCCCCGAACAACATCACAGGTTTGCCGGTTTGCCTTGCCAGTTGCGTGGCAGAGGAGAAGAACTCTTATGGCCGCGTGGTGAACGTGTCAAGCCCTGTAGGGCTGTATGGCAACTATGGCGAGGGCCCTGGAGCGGCAGAGCACGCCTGAAGATATTCGCAGATTTGACTGTACACATGCACTGGTCAGGTCAAGCCAACTACACGGCCATGAAGAGGCTGACAGCTGCGACAGTGAGGATTTCACGCCACGGTGGCAAAGCCTTGCAAAGGGCCGTCGTGGGCTTCACCCTGTCGCTGGCTGCAGAAGGCCGGCCTTTCCATTGACTCTTTCGTGAGCATGATGTTTCTGTCACATGAGGTGCTAAGAAGCAGATCAAAGTGAACGTGGTAGCACCGTACGCAGCCTCCAGAATGTCGCCCTCGCCTCAGCATTTCTTGGATTCGCCTCGTCCTTTGCGTTTCTACGGGTCCGCGCTCCAGGCAGACCGTGATGTCTCCCGAAATGCTGCAGGTTGCGTTCAGTTAGAAAACTGTCTGTCTTTGATTCAGCTGTTGGATGATTGCACAGGCTTTGCCTGCTTCGTCTGCCGCCAAATTCATAGCCTTCCTGTTCCGAGCTCAGATGCTGCACCAAGATGTGATTGGAAGTCCATTCATAAGATCACGGGTTATCATCAGTGAAATGTTATGCTATGGAGAATGCACGACTTGTCCTGATGGCATGATTCCGCTTTTGCCTAGGAACATTACCGAAACAGTGTTTAATCAATTTACTCATTGTTCGTAACAGTCGCATGCTGAACTGAATTGCAGGTGCCACGAGGACTGCCCGGAGTCAGGCGGCTTGTACGAGCTCGGCGGAAACTGGATCTCCAAGGCGCGTCTCTTCCTTGCCTGCATTTGCCGGGCAGCTTTGTGTGGAACGCACATTACAGGTAAGGCTCCAACGCTCGAGGGGTGTTCAGCTCAAAGGGGATTTCACGATGGAGGCCAGTTGATCGCAACCTCGGGTGCCGCAGGGGATCCCCGGTTCTTGTGTGGGCGCTTCGCCGGTGAGGACATCGCGCAGAACTTCGAGCAGATCTGTGACTTCAGCGAAGGTCCCCCCCTTGATTCTGAGAGGCCGCGCGAGGGCGCAAACCTTCCTGCCTGTGTGGGAGGCTCCGAGTTTCCAACCGAGGGCTTCTCTGGGATGCAGCATGCGATGGCCGGCTTCTCATGTCACGTCACGTGTCCACTCTCCCTCCGTCCTCCCTTCATCTCGCTTCTGCCAGCCAGCGGAGGCCTGGCGGAAGACCGATGCGCCGGCAAAAGGAGATCCGACATCCAAGCTCTGAGCCTCCGGAAGCACGGAGACTCTGATTTCTTTGACTTTGACTGGCTGGCCTCCCCAGCCTCCGACGACGCGAGCTGGGCCTTGATGATCCGTGATCTCTGCCCAGCGGCCAAAGACCATGGCCCATGAGCTCTTGCAAGCAACGTATGCAGCGGCAGGTTCTGCTGCGTTTTCAGCTTGGAGGCCACAGCGCCACAACATGCCACAGCCAGAAGATGCCAGCGGAGCGCCTTTTTGTGCGGGAAGAGAAAGTTCGGAGTTCGGTGCTCTCAGTCGCGGTAGGTTTCAACCCGGCTCAGTGTGTGCTATCAGCATCGAACGGAGCGCCTCTCATTGTGCTGTCAAGACTGGTTGGATACTGAGAGGCAACAGAAGCCAAGAAGCTTGAGAGTGAAGCCGCTGCTCGACTGCAGAGCCTGCAGACCCGGCAGAAGGACAGCAAGAGGGAAGAGCTCACAGCGGCTTCTGAGCCACTCCTGCAGGACCAAGCTGCTCGTGCACAGTCCACCGAAGGCCGACTGCAGACGGAGCTGACTCAGGCCCTGCCCTCCAAGCTAGCAGCTAGCAGCTAGCAGGCTGTCCATGAATGTCAGTGAGGTCATTGCCGGCTTTGACAGCACGTGGCTCATGCCTCCAAAGCAAGGGGTAGGCAAGCACTTAGTAACGGCAGCTAGGTAGATAACAAGCAAATCAATAAGCAGGTACTGTTCGGCAGGGAGATACAACAGTCGCCCGCTTGTGAGCGGGTCAGAGCAGTGTGTATTTGTGCTCCCCGGTCGTGCAAGCTAGGTAGGTGACCGCGAAAAGGTACGGCCAGACACAGCCGGACACAGAATCAGTGTTTCTTGAAAAGCAGAGGGACGCCCAACACAAGACTCATCATTGCTCCCGTCCTTGGCCATGATCGTCCGGCCTGGGCAGCCGTCGAAAATGTACTCGCTGTCCATGGCAAGCGGCGGCTTGGGTGCCTCTCTGGGCTCTTCGAAATTGAGGGAGGCCAGGGAAGCCAAGGCAAAGGCCAAGGCGAGGCCCGGCCCGGGCACGAATGGATCGGGCCGGGCAAGGCGGGAGTCGCCCTTGGCTGCTGCAGCGAGGCGTGCACGGGAGGCCATGGCCGTCTCGGCCGTTCCCGCTTCCGTTCCGGCCTCCAAAAACGAACGTCGCAGTCAGAGGCCGAGATCCTCAAGCGGCCAGGGCCTGGCCCTCAAGCTGCGGAAGCCGCAACTCGGGGCAGAGCCGCCGCCTCCAACGCCTTGCACGCCAGAAAGCCCACTGCGCTCCGAGACGCAGCCCGGGTTTACCTATGCAGCCCGGTCGCTGATCCGGTCGCACGGGAGCCCGGACAGGGACTTGGACAAACATCCTTCCCGCAGACCACCCGGCAGCTGTTCGCCGGAAAGCCCCGACTGGAAGAATGGCAGGAGAAGGCCATCCCATGCATTCGAGGATCACGATCCCAACGCGGACTTTGCGAATTCTTCAGTCGGCTCGGCTCCGATCGATGTCTCCTGGGAGGACCCTGTCGAGCCAGGAAATCCAGACAACTTCCTGCACGAAATGATCTGCCCAGGACATGGCCGCGAAATCTGCAGAAAGGGCCGAAATTTTAGAGGCGGGGTGCCCTTGCATTGAAGGTTAATAGGATACTGGCTACTACTTACTTCCAGTCATGCTAGTCCGAGAGGCGGCGGCGGTGCTGCGCCGCGAGGCGCAGGATCTGGGCCAAGCGTTACGGGCCTGGGTTGGCGTGGAGGCACGGCTGAATCGGGGCATCGAGGGCTCCTGACGGCTCCTGGACATCCGTTTTTCAGGCAGAGCCGGAACGGAGTGCTCCGGAAGAGCTGCCTTCCTCGCTTTTTGCACCTCTGGCTTCCGAGCCGGAAGATATCGAGCTGGAGCCGCGTAAGGCCGAGAGAGAATGATGGACGAGTCCAGTTGTTGGCTTTGTAGTGGAGGCACCGGTGGGCGCCGGGGCTGATGCCGGTGCCGGCGAGGAGGGTGACGGGATGAAGGAGGCCGGGTGTGAGATCATTACGCGCGCGGCTACGCAGCAAAGCCAAGTGCCGTCTGAAGGCCTTCGAGGCCAAGCCCCGGGAGCCCGAGTCGGAGCTGTTGCCAGAACCAGAGACGTTGCCCCGGCCAGAGTGTGAGCCCGGAGAGACCGAGGCACGTTTGGGGGGTGCCAGAGACCTGGTCTCGAAACGCGTTTTTTGCAACTCGGGCTCCAGGCATTGGACGAGCGTGAGCGCCTCATGCTGCAGCCGCAACCTCATGCCCTCCTTAGATGTCATTAGTCATGTGAGTCAGACTGGCTCATCGCTCGAATCATGTTCTTTGCGACTTGCGATGGAGGCGCGAGCGGCTGGACAACGACCTGGAGAGAATCGCAGGCAAGATTTGTCCTCCTGGCCTTCGGCCTTTCCGGCCTTTGGAGCAGCCAAGAGAGCAAGGCGAGTGGCATCGTGTGCTGGCCGAGAGACAGCAGGCGATTGAGGCCTCGATTTCCAATCGCAGCTGCAGCGTCTTCCTGAACCTGGAACTTGCCCGCGTGGAGGCCCTGGCGGCGACGGAATTCCCAGCTGTGGCACAGCACGGCCCCTTTTTCTCTGCAGATGGTTAACGCTGGCCTTTCGTGTTGGGAAGACTCGACACTGACACACTGGAGGCTTTCACAGGCGCCAGTCCCGATGCCAGTGTGCCTGGCCGAAGAGGGAGCTGTCACCACTCGTTCTTGCCAAAGCTGGCTGCTGGGAACGAAGGCATGGCAGAGCAACACTGGGTTCGCCTGTCCAAATGACAATGCCGACAATGCACGCAGTGCGCGTCCCAGACAAACTGGAAAAGGGAGGCTTTTTGTTCTTTTTGGGATGGCCTCGTTGTACTTTTCTTCAAGGCTCCATTGCCCGCGCGGGCGACGGTGCCACTGAGAGCACAGGAGGCAACACATTTGTTTTTTCTTTTGTGGGTCTGGCTACATCGTCGAGACTGGCAGCTCGCATTCCCATCAGGTCTATGCGCACGTGCAGGCATTGTCGCGCTCGCCAAGTCCGGTTGCGGTGGGAACCTTGCTGTTGCATGCAGTGACATGCTGAATTGAACCGTCTTCCTACCCTAGATCTAGGCCACAGGCATCTGCTGGCCACACCGGTGTGAAAGCTTTGAAAGGGTTGCATGCATTTGCATGAACTTGTTCGGCGCACGATCTTTGGGCTCAGCGTCCGTGGCCCTCTGGCCCTCGACACCATGGCTGTCAATGGGCCTCGGCTATGTGCTAAGTCATCGCCTTGAGCTCTAGAGTACCGCAGGGGACTTCTGCGAGTCAGCACTGGCCCTCCCTTTGCGAGGCCCTGCCAGGGCCATGCTGCTCGCAGGCAGCATAGAGTCATCTTGGCAGTGCCGGACTCGGTCGTGATTTCGCCTTGGTGTTCAGCCATGCCCTGCTGCGCACAGGTCTTGGCGCTTTGCGGAGCTGCAGCCTGGTCGGATCCCCCGGCTCATGTACAGTTCCTGACCGTCCTGTCCGAGTGCCTGAGGTACGGCACTGCCCGGAGCTTCCTCGCTGCGAACGGGCGAGGTGGCGATGAGCCTCGCGGATGTCACGCCACTGACTTGGGGCAAGCAGGACTGGGTCGCAGCGACCGCAGCGTCGTCGCGCGAAAGGCGTGACCCATGACGACGTGGAGAGCCTCTCAGAAGAGAGCGCCAGCTTGAGAGAGGACACAGAAATTTGACAGGCCGGCTACTCCTTCGGCCTCAGCTCGTCGGAGGATCACAAGGGACTCCTGACAGCGCAGAAGGACCGAAAAGCGAGTTGCAGTGAAGTCATCACAGAAGCAGCGGAATGAGGACAATGCCTACCGAGTCTCGACGGAAGGCAGCTTTCTCTCCGGACACTACAACACGGCCACCTCGTCAGCACTAGGCCACATTAGAGCGAAGCCATCGAACTTTCCTCGAAGGTGTTGGGAGATCAGGAGATCCCTCAGTCCGGCCGCTCCTACTGGGAGGCGGAGAGATCTGATGGGACCGGGTAGACTCGAGGAAACCGTGGGTCCCAGTCCCATCTGGGCCCTGGAATGCGGGCAGGTCAAGATCGTGACCAAACCTTCCGACGCATGGGAGTTCATAGGCGCGACGGGCTTTTTGCTCGCTTGTCCCAGCTTCAGAGCAGCGGCAAGGCGTCGCCGAACCAACAGCAGATGTGTCGTGACCTTATGTGGTCAAATCTCGCAGCCTGCCGTAGCCAAGCGTCAGAGGACAATGCCGCTTCACAAGAACAAGAAGGGCAAGGGATGGTTTTGGGGCGGCGACTGGAGCGAATCCTTCGTAAGCTCGTGCATGTTATGAATCGGCAGCCGTCGACTGCAGAGTCCAAATCTCACGGTCGCCAGATCTACACTTTCATGGAAATGAAGCCGGGCATGAACGACAAGAAAATGGCCCGGAAGCCTGCAAGTTTGCCTGGGACCAAAGAAGCTGCGCCTGAGCCGAGGCCCACCACAAACGTATTTCAGACACAGCTGCCGGACCCTCGACCCTGTGCTGTGGGGCCTATTTTGTGATGGCCTGTTGGCAATTGGTGCACGATGCACTGTGACACTGTAGCATCGACCTTGACTGTATGCAGCACCCTGACCGCAGCAGAGTGGCTCTCGTGGGTGAAGCTATGGTCTCAGTTGCGTGACTCTGTGCCCGCTCATGGTGCTGGAAGCCTCCAGGTCTGCAAGGAAGGCCCGATACATGCACTGCCGCGTTGCCAAAAGACTGTCTCTCTCTGTGTGAACTGGCAAGGCATGTCCTCACCGCTGCCGTCCATCAGCCCTCGACCCATCTACTCAGCAAGCTCTGCCGCATCTGCAGCGAGCGGATCGACTCGAAAGGCATCGGACTCAGGGTGTCGCGCGCCGAAAAGCATCTTGCACAAGACAGGGCTGATTCTCGAACTGAGTGCGACGATCTCCGAGGCGGCCGATCGTCTACCTGCGCTGGATAGCATGTCACAGATGCTCTTGTCCCAGGCAACACATGCAACACATACATACATTCAGCAGCACCTGAAGCAGAACCTTCTGCTTGTTCGATGTGTTTCGAAATGCGGCGCAGCTCCGAGGTCAGCTCGCATCCAGGCGCTGTCCAAGCAGCAGGTGCCTTCTGCCTGGTATCCGAAGGGGAAAAAGTGAGCCGTGAGCCTTCGTGTTTCCCTCGCGAAGGTGGAGCTGAAGCGGGAGATCAAGGAGCATGGGCCGACGAGCTGCATCTCTGATGGTTCAGCGAGGAAAGCTGCCGACATTTCAGGAGGCCAGATCACTGGAAACGCCCCCACCGTGCGGAGCTTTGTCTTTCCACTCCCTTCTCAAGTCTCAAGAATCTAGAAGTCAGCAGCCTTAATTTGTGGGAGTTGCATTTGGAGATCAGGTCCGAGAGGGTCTCCGGGAAGGTGGGCCCGGCCTCCCGCGGCTCCCGCTCTCTGCCGATCGAGCCGCGGAGCGGTAACCGGCGCAGCTGGGGTAAAGGACTGGTTCTGACAGTCTCACGGAAAAAGCTGTCGACGAGGCTACTGCTTCAAAAAGGCTCGGCTCGCGATCCCTGCACGAAGCCAAGACTCTCAAAAGAGGCAAGCCAATGCCGACATGGGACCTGAATGCAAAATCTACAGTGGTGGCGAATGGAGCAGCAGAAGGGCAACCGGGGGGCCAAGCACAAGCACAGACTCAACAGCAACCTCGACATTGAGAGAGCACTGATCAAAACAGGGGGGAAGAGTGGCTGCAACGAGCACTCCACAGACAACGATGGAAGAACCTTACACCTCGCTTCGTTGATCAACACGACATTCCCTGGTCAACAGGCAGGTAAGGCAAGCTCGAAAACCTCACACCAACCAGCCAGACAACGCCAACTCGAAGTGAAGGCCAACCTCGTCGTACTACGGACATGGAGGGGGATATGGAGGAAGTCGAGAACGAGCTGGAGGGCCAACATACGACCCGTTAGCCGGCGCTCCAAGGGAGCGGGGGAAGCCCTGGTCAGGAGCCTTCGGGACAAACGTGCAGCCGACCAGGGGATTGACTGTCAAATTGCCGAAGCCTCCTGAATGGGGGGAACTGCCGCGGGGGAATCAGAAAGCGAAGATCCTCCGAATGTCTGCCGCCCAGCACCTGAACCGCCCACGACAAGACTGCGCAGAATCGCCGCCTGCATGGAGGGGGGAGAGAGCAAAGGAACAAACCCCCAAAAAAGAGGTGCAAAAGCACCCCGCAGGGGCAAAAGAGGACCGTCCACCACTCCGCCGCCGACGACATCTCCGAGTTAATTGAGAGAAGGGGGGAGTCAAAGAGATCTCGCGTGACTACTGAGTGCTGCCTTGAGGGGAAGTCAAAAGCCTGTACAGCAATGATCAATAATCATGTTTAGGCCTGTGAGGAATCTTCAGTCGTTTGAATTGTTTTCGGAGGTTGGGTCACTGTTTACGTTGCCTCTTCATCCCAGGGGGATTGCTCTCAGGACCCTCAGATTGAACCTGCATGGGGATGCCTCAACCAAGGGAAACCCGATCAACTGCAATTTAAAGGAGTCACCCGCAGTCTTCTTTAGAGTGCTTCTTTCGCAGATATGCTTTTGTCAACCTCGTACTTGTCTTCATTACCTGTAGGGGAACCCCAAGCTCAGAACTGATGCAGCACACTTGCAGCCCTCGAAGATGGGGGAACGTTCGTTGACTTGCTAAGCTTGCCTCTTTCTTTCATGGGGGAATACCTCAAATTTGGGGACGCCCCAAAAACAGAAACTTCGTAGGAATGCTTGTCATGGGTACCTTTAGTATCTGCTTCGAGTCATGGTTACTAAAACCCAAGATGCTTTCCCTGAACCATGTTGTTTGAAAGATCCGAAGCCGTTCGCGTGGAAGCTATCCTTTGTCGCTGTTCGGTTTTCCATACTACTGTCTGCTTGATTTGCCGAACGGAAGGGGGATCGAAACTTGAATTTCCCTTTTCGCACCGAGCCGGGGAAATCTGCAACATGCGGATGACCTCGGAAGACGATGAGACTCGGATGCGCGCATTGCCTGGGGGGGTTTGCCCAAGGGTATCCCCCTCTGTAGCCGCAAGCAAGCAAGCAAGAGAGGGAGGGAGAGAGAGAGAGAAAGAGGGACAGTCAACCACGCGGAGGTTTGACAAACTTCCAAAGCCCCTAGAAACGGGGGGGGGGGGGTCCTGCCGGCCGGGGCTTGACACGCCCCTCATGCCCTGATGAAGAAGAGAGAAAGAGATTTCCCAAAAGAAAGACAGAGAAAGAAAGAAAGACAGTCAGAAAGAAAGTCAGAAAGAAAGACATAAAGAAATAAAAGAAGACAGACAGAAATAACGAAAGAAATAAAACAACGAAAGAAAGACAGAAATAAGGGGAGAGAGAGAGAGAGAGTGCATGTGTGTGTGTGTGTGCGTGAGTGTGAGTGAGTGTGTGTATGTGTGTGTGGGGGGAAGACTGTTACCAAGAGTTGGCAAGCAATATTCTTTCGTACAGTGCAGGGGGCAGCAGGGAGTCCACAGTTCTGCTGCCAACGAAGACAGCTGTGGATACTCCGTGAAGCAGATTGGGACGCCAACCTGTGTACCTGCATTGTTTTCCTGATCATGGCTATGGGGCTAAGCCAAGAACCCCAAAGTGCAGTAACGCAGCAATCTTGTTCAGTGTCTGAAACATGTACTGCCCACGTGGCTTAAAATCTTTACCTCTGGAGAAAGTTTTAAGTATCAAGTCGAAACGGAGGGAGGATTGCACGAGTGCACGAGTGTGAGTGTGTGCGTCTGTGCACGTGCGCGAGCCTTTGTACAAGTTGTGCTTCTCCCAGCCTTCACTCGCCACGTGTTTTGCGCAAATGCCTGCAGGAATTGGGAAGGACAGCTCGAAGGGCAGCTCGCAGGGCAGCTCGCAGAAAGGAAAGCAGTGGAAGCCGACAGGCGAAGTCGCGAGTTGTGCAAATTCTCCAAATTCTCACGCAATCTTCGCAGGTCGGGTGTCTGGAGACCCAGTGAGCTTGGGCGGCAGAGCCGACAGAGTGGCTCGGGCTGCGCGGCCGCCGCCGGCCACTGCCGTGAAAACGTCCGGAGCTCTGAAAAGCGCTGTTTGCAGAGTGTTGCGCGGCTGCACTCACCTTCGGGCTTGCTCTGTATGGTGCAGAGGTACGACGATCGCGGTATCCCCAACTTCCGATCGCGTCATGAAGACATGAAAGCCGAATGGGCAGGGAAGTGGGGCGACGGCGGCGAGGATTGGGGGGAATGGGGCGAGTGGGATGAGTGGGATGAGGACGGAGACTGGGGCTGGGATGAAGGTTGGGATGACGGTTGGGGAGGTGGATATGGATGGTGATGCCGGTGATGGTGGCACCACTGGCTCCACGAGCAGTCGGGAATGAGCTATTCAGGCTGTTCTGGTCAGACGAGCTCGGCGGAAACTGCGGCGGTAGACAGCATGTCGACAAGAAGCCTTCAAGGGGAACTGAGATGCACCGTGGGCGAAGTCGCAAAGTCACTCGACGTTCAGCTCCCGAAGGAGGCAGCTGCGAATTGTACATAGAGATTCTGCACACTCTTCTTGCTCTCTCAACTACTGGACCTCCGAATTGCGCTGCCAAGAAAAAGAGAGCAGATGAACTGATGCAGCACTTTGACCAATTTAGTAGCCTTGCGTCCATGTTGACCGGCTGTGACCAAGATCTCCTACGGCTTGTTCGAGCGAAAGAAACTTGATCCTCGGCTGCGAGCACAACAGATCTTCGTCGTTTCTTGTTGCCCACTCGATGACCAATGGACAGCTGAGGAAGAGCAAATTTTCAGACCCATCGAGAAGCTGTGGACGGCCGCTATCCAAGCTGCTTTGCCAACTTTGGCCGAAGTATTCTGTGCTCTTGCAGGGACCTGGCACCCACATCGGCATGCTGTCAGACTACCATCCTCCGTTCGAGCGAGGCCTGTTCTCAAAGTGCCTGCGGCTGGATAGACGGGCCGTTGAAGCAGGCACCGTGGTTGGCATCGACGTGGACATGGACGACGGTCAGAGGCCAAGTGGAGACTCCAGGTTTCGGGGATCCAAGCCGCAAATCCAAGCCGAGTCATGTCCAGGCCTTGGCGGCAGAGCTTTTTGTAGCCAAGGCTCTCTGGCTTTCTGGGCCAATGGCGAGTTCCTCGGTATCGTCAAAGACAACGAGGCCGAGTTGGCGGGCCTTCTCCCACCACTTCTCTCGCACGCTTTCTTAGAGCTCAAACCGTTCGCAAGTGCCGCCCGAAATCTAGCTTGGCATGCTCGCCCCGGATTCTCTAGGGACTTTTTGGCTCCCCAAATGGAGCCGGACATGCAGTTACACTTGACACGTGAGCAGTTGCAACACAGGGAGGATCTGATCCTCTGCAAAAACCTCGGCACTCGCTTCCCGCCGGTAAGCTTTCCGCAGTCTTTCGAGTCATGAGTTAGTGAGCTGCAGTGATAGATCCTTCACACTCGCTGACCATCAAGTCGCTCGACTCACACGACTCAGAATCGGCTTCGGTCGGGAGTGTTGGATAATGTTATTTGAGGGAAATGTGTTGACGCCAGGACAAGCCCGTGAACCTCAAAGGCAAGAAGATCGCCCGCGGCTGAGACGGTCTTCAGGTACAGGCCCGAAGGACGGCTGTCGCCCTCAGGTGCCAGCCCTGAGCGTCTTTGGCAGGAGATGCCGGGGTTTAAGCAGAGGTGCATGGTGCGGCCTCAGAGTGCCTGCGCAGGAACACAGGAAAGCACAAAGAGAACACAGTCATGGAGGCACAGGGCCTGTCCCAAATCCCAACAGAAACCTTGGTAGCAGCACAATTGTCAGGTTCGGACCGGTCTGGATGCCCCGACGCGGTCGCGCCTTCAGCACAAGACTCCTGAATTCCTGAATCAGATCAATTGGTATTGCTTTCAGCATCGGTCATGTGGACGAGCTCAACCAGTGTCTTCCTTTTGGCCTCCGCCGTTTCGCCTGTGGCCGAGGCCTGGCAAGTGAGCGACTTCCAGAGCGCCTCAATCATCCCAATGAACACCAGCAGTCTTGCCAGCACAGACTCTCACTTATCTAACTTGTTAGGAACTACAGCCGAATAAAGGTCCCCATGCATCTGCGTGTCCTGCTTAGCAGCAAAAAGTATCGTCACGTCGCAACTGCCGTGCAGCCGGTTGCAGTCTTCGGCATCCTCTGACTCCGGTTCACGGTTCACGAACCTCCAATGCGTTCCCAGGTGCGTTCGCCCAGTCCTGGCTTCCACGGAGGACAAACCTGTTTCAGCCGTGCGGTGTTCACGCAAGGTTTAGTATCTAGTACCCTCGATGCAGCAGTGACCGTGTGGAGTCGCGATCCCCAGGATGCTTGGGTCTGGGCTCGCCTCTCCAAGCTCTTCCCGTTGCGCCCCTGTCGCCTGTGATGGCCATGCCTCCGGCGCCTCCGGCGCCCGGACCGGTGACCTTTGCACCGGGGAGGCCGAGCTGCTGCGTTTTGCTTTGCTGCGCTCTCGACTTGACCCTCTTGGCCGCTCAGTCCCCTGGCATCTCCCTTCAGCGGCAGAGGCGCCGCAACTCAGAATCTGCAGACCATATTCGGCATCACGGAGCAGCTTGTATCTTGCAGGACCTCTCTTCTCGCCCATGCTCGATGCGGGATACACGCGCACTGTGGCAAGGCCCTTTGGCACAGTCGCGAAGCTGCTCTCTAGAAGGCCAGTGCATGGTGCCCTGTGATTACTTTGCCAGTCCTTTGCAAGCCAATGGCGCGGCAGGCTTCGCAAGAATTGAAAGGTCGTGCTGCTTGCAGCTTTCCCTGCCCATCTTGGCAGGAACTCCACTTGCCCCACTTGTGGCTGCATCGTATCCTCGAAGTGTGGGCGGAAGGCGGGCGCTGGGGGATCCCATGGGAACCCCTTTTTCTGCTACCAGATGGGAGTGCTTTTGCGAGCCCTTGCCCACCGAGTCCGATACCTTTCCGCACCAGCAGTCCCGCAGGCGGTGAACTCGGCGTGTTGAGGGAGGGAGCCCGGAGGGAGCCCCGAGGGAGCCCGGAGTTGTGGGAAACCTTTGCCAGGACCCCCTCGGATGCTTGCACCTACCAGCTCTTCGTCTGCAGATTCTAGCCAGAAGCGACTGGAAGATTCGAAAGCTGTCCATTCTTAGGTGCATCGCCTCTGGCTGCAGATCGCAGGATCACCGTGCCTGTGGGTTGCACAAGTGTGGGTCAGGAACGTGTCAGGCACGAACATGTGAGGTTCACATCTTTTCCCGAAAGCTTCAGCGAA